TTAATTATAAGTATTATATTATTATCTAAACAAACTGATTTGAAGTTTATAGCTAATGCTATTTTTCGCATTTCTTTTTCGCATCTTGACAGCTCTACGCCTCAATTCAACTAATGAACGAAGCCAAAGCAGCGCAGCACTTCGAGCAGCCAGTAGCAGCCATCAGCATACAAAAAAGTACTAAAAACAAAAGCCAACAAAAACCCCTAATTAAAATGCATTTTCATTCGGGACGTCAGCGTTGTTACCACATCGTCTGACCGCACCCCGCGTGCCCGTTTTTACCGTGCCTGGGACGTGCTCTAAGGGGGGATTGCTTCATTCATTAGCTAGAATGCGGACCCCCTCGAGTCGCTGCCACTGCCTTACAGTCACATGAACCGTTATGCCATTGTACACACACACATGTACACAGGCCGTACACATGAGTGCGTGTGTGTGTGCGCGCGTTTGTGTGTGAGTGGCTGCGGGCATATTTAATTACAAAAGCTGCTAATTAGGAAACGTACACACCCACGTTGGTTAATTTGTTTGCAAACCAATTAACTCGGCGCACAGTATCAGGCGCACAGAAAACCACAGCCAGCAGACAGGCAACAGAAGCAAGCAGTAGCAGCAGCAGCAGCAGAAGCAGCAGTAGTAGCAGCAGCAGTAGCAACCATAGCAGCAGCAGCCACTGCTGCTGCGAAAGAAACGCGTCACCGGCGGACGTCGCTGCTGAAAATGCAGACAGAACTTTCCAATCAGCGTCGAGCGCTCGGCCAGGGCACAGGGCAACTTCAGTGGCAGCGGCAGAAAAACAGGAAAAAAGTTAACTAGTGAGCCAATGCGACTAAAACAGTTAACGTACAGCAACAAAAGCCATAAAAGACAAGTCAATGGGGGAGGCGCAAAAGTGCGCAATGGCCAACTTAATGAGTGACGAAATAATAAAAACGAAATTTTAATGAAAAAGTTCTGAGTGTACGTGTGTGTGTGTGTGTTTGCTGGGCGTGTGCCGCTTGGGCTTATTCTTAATAAATGAGCTAAAGATGGCAAAAGTCGTCAACGCCGCTGCGTTGCCTGCCATTGCCGTTGCCGCGGCCTCTGCCTCTGCCTCTGCTGCCGTCTTGCGTGCTAATGAGTAATAAATAATTTTTTTTTTTGCTGCTGCCGTTCTGCTACGGCCTAGACAAGCAGCAGACGCGAATATCAGGCAAACAGAGCAGTAGAATAACGACCACAAGCGAATGAAGAGGGGAACGCATACAGAGAGAGTGGAAAAGGGAGAGGCAGATAGAGATAGAGAGAGAGAGAGAGACAGAGATTGAGCGCGTCCCAGAACGAGATAGTTAGCGCAAGAATGTAAGAGAACGAGAGGTAGAGCGGGGGAGTAAACAGATTCGGTTCCGGCGTTGCTTTTGCGTTAATTAGTTTTAAGCATGTCCATTATGCAACAGCATGTGGCAAGCAACAGCGGTTTACATAAATATGTATGTACATATGTATATATGTATATACATACATATATTTCGGACCGTAACGCCGTAGGTACATATGTGTGTGTCTTCATATACATACATGGATATGTATGTATGTACATATGTATATAATTATGTGCATCGGAGAGCTCTTCAGGCTATTCGTCTAATTGCGCATAGTAGTGAATTAAATTATTTCGTAGTCACGGCAATTACATTATTTGAAATAGTACGTATAAGACAGCCATGGAGCGAGCTAGTCTGTTCTGTTATTCTTCTGTTTTATTATAATTTGTTTTTTAATCTAGTACAGTCAGCGGGCTATGCTGATAAAGCAAAAAGCTGATTACATTGCAACGCGTTAAACACACTAATGCAATGCCCACATATAGAATGAAAGACAGAGAAAGAGAGGGAGAGACAAACACATGCACACTCACATTCATACTGTGATACGCACACATGGCATAGCCAAGTGTGCAGCAGCAACCTGTGCCCATTTGCTGGCTGCCCAAAACAGTTACAACAATAACAACAGATGTCTTATCAAAATAAATAAATATAAAATGATTGCAGCTGCTCGACTAAACACTGCCCTATACCCCATACCGTACAGAACATAAATATGTACACACATACATACATATGAAAGCAGGTAGGACATTTATTTGAGCGGACAGTCTGCTTCGCATTTACTCGGGTCATTTACTCTCTCGCGCTCTCTGAGAAGCTGTGCCACTTGACAGCCTTAAGCCGCAGAGTGATCGAGCGAGAGGTCCGATGCAGTCGGCAGTTTTGAGAATACACCATTTTCTTTGCTTACCCTGACAGCTCTCAAATGTGCGTGTATGTGTGAACAAGATGTGCTGCATGTGCACCCTGTACTTTGTGCAGTACAGTATGCTACTTTTGCTTGTTTTAAATGCTCTTCCTATTATGATTTATCCAAACAAATATTTGTATAGGCATTAGTTTTATTTTTATATTAACCAACAACTACTTTCATCAGCCATTTGAGGTATGCCCGTTGCTGTCCGTGCTCTTACAGGGTATACCAAAGCAGAGTTAACTGTTAGCAACAATAACAAACAATGTAATGCATATGGGGCCCGAGCCAGTCCAACTGGGCACGTGAGTATTTTATTATTTTTTCGGTTATCGGTGCCCGCATTTGTTTATAGACTCGGAACGGAGAACTCTTTTTAGGGTTTCGTCGCTTGTCGCTGGCTGCTGGGCGCCTGTTGCCCACTCAAATAATCGATCGCAAATTATTTATTGATTTTTGATTGATGAGCCTCAGGTGATTTACGCAAATGGGTGTGAGGCCCCCCCATTGTGGCGCTGCGTGGATATTTCGGCACCAAATAAAGCTCATCTGACTTCTGTCCGTTTGGGGCGGATTAGTTAGCTTTGCTGATGCGGCTAACAGCAATGCCAAGAGGCAGAGATCGAGCTATGCGGTGCCATGCCGAGCCATGCCGTGCCGAGTGGAGTCAAACAACCGCAGCAATTCAGGTTGAATTTGAATAATATTATCAGGTTGCAAGAGCTCCACCAGCTGTGACAGCTGAATTTGATAAGCCGCGCTATCGCTACATATGTAAATTATATGACGCATTCGTAATACAAATTTGTTGTCAGTTCTATTTAGATTTATTTGTTTATTATACTCGATCTATAACAAAACATAGAAAAAAAATAACTTGCTAAAAGAAAAACACTTAACAGCTACAGATATAAGCGCCTACTACCGGAGAGGTCTCGTTAGGAAGGTTATTATATATGTATATGTAAATTTCTATATTTTCTGTATCTTTTTTTTGCTTTTTTCGTTTGTATTTTTTTTTTTTTTAATTTTTGTCAATTGTGTGAACTTAACTCGTAGCAAAACTTATTCTATATATACTTAAATAATTATTGTTTCTCATATACTCGTAAAATGTAAGTTTATAAAAATCCCGCCTCCAAAAATATGCAATATAATAAGTACAAAAATCATGCCCCAAAAGTATGCAACATCATCCATCTTCTTCGTCTTCTTCTTCCTCCGCCTACTTGCGACTGCCTTTGCGCCTCAAATGATGTCGCGTCGTGGCCGCTGCCAGGGCAACCGCCGCCTGCGCTGCCGCCGTCAGATAACCTTCGGCGCAGCGCGTGGGCCAACTCTAGGATTCGTAGAGCAAGCGTTGATAGTGCGGCAAGATCTCATGCATTGGCACATGCAAACTGAACTCGAGCGCCACGAGCACGGCGAACTCCGAGGATATCAGTTCCTTGCGATTCAAACGAAACACACTCTCCGTCTTCTCAATCAAACTCTTCAGAGCATCGCCCTTGACATCGTTCATCTTGGCGCTGAGCAGGAGACAGGCGCCGGCACACAGCTTGCGATTGCTCTTATTTATCAGATTGGCTAGAATTAGCTTCTCGAAGTAGACATAGGCCTGCGATATGGTGACCAAATCGATGCGCGAATCCAGTTTATTGATGCGTCTCATCTCCCTCTTGATGCTGTGGAATGACATAGAGTTAGTTAAACTTTTCATTAAAGAGTTCGGCAAATCAAAAATACCTCCTCAGTTTACTTAAGGTCAGCTGTACGGTTGGAAACTTTTCACGGAACTTATCGTTCAACTCCTTCTTCAGATCCGACGGACGTACATAGTCAATGACCGAAGTCATGTACGAGGTGAAGGTCAACAATGTGCGATGCTTGCCCGCTATTAACTCTGGATCATCTAGGATGCTCGCCGAATATTGTTGATACTGTAGAGAAAGAGAGAGAGAGAGATAGAGCATAAGGGGAGTTATAGTACAATATATATAGTTTAGACAAAATTCTACTTACAGGCAAACCACGACCTGCATCTGTTCCACTGAGTATCATGCTCTCCATATCCATATCGAGTTTCATCTCGGGCGTTGGACTCGCTGTGGTATTATTGCGATTGTTGTTCTCATAGGTGAAGCACCTGTAAAATGCATCGATTATTGATTATAGATATATCGTATGATATGATGTATATAGATATAAATGTATTTATTGTTGATCTATAAGAGGCGTGAGTAAGCGGTTTAGTTGAAAGCGTTTTAGCCAGTTTTCGAATGTGTGCAAATGTGAAGTGTGAATTTTGTTAGTGGTAACTACTCTATATAGTATAGATACAACGGATATTTGAAAGCTTTCACAGTCCATCCAAGCTATGAACTATCCTTGTATGTATATACAATATGTTAATATATATTTATCAATTCATAACCGAGATAGCTGTGATTGTTTTTGGATTTTTGTTATTTATTAGCTGCTTCAAAAATTTACCATTTGCCTTGATGTTTGGTTATGGTTTTTGTGCTGAAACGAAGTAGTGCAAAGCGTTATGATTAGCAAAAAACAGTTAATGGTAGAAAATGCGTCGAAATTCTCCTTCTTGTATACAGTTATTATATATACATATATGCTACATATAAATATATATTTTTGATTATGTAAAGTATTATGCAATCATTAAAAGGTAAAAAAAAAACACCTGAATCATATTTGTTTGCTCGCTCATAAGGTAGAAGATGAGTATATTGGTTTTCTGGTATTCCTACTTGTACTTATAGACTATGTACATATGGTTTCCTATAATATTTTGAAATTTGCTTGGTAATCACATAATACTTTAAAATATTTTTAACCTTAAACCTTTCACAGCATCCAACAGGTTTATTATATAGCATATTTTAAACGCATATAATCAGTAAGTTCTCTACTTGGTTTACATTTCATAATCAAACTAGAAACCGAAAAATATGATTGCAAATCCTAAAATATGAAATTCTCAATAAATATAGCTAATTTTTTGAATCATCAACAGGTATTGGGCATTCGATCACAGCCGACGGCAATATTTTCACTTGTTTTTCGCTGATTTATTTCGAATGCCCATGACTCAGTCCGTAGCCGCAATATATTTATTATAGAATTTTGTGCACTCAGCGAATGAAAATTATGTTGTTCATCTGATATTTGAGCTTTAGCTGATATTTATATTTTGCTTATTTGACAAAAATATTTAACAAGCTGATTTGTTTTTTTCTTCTTCTTTCATTTATAGGGGATTACGAGACGTTATGTAAATTAAATTGGATTACAGTCGTTAAATTGATTTTAAAGCTGTTTTTTTTTTTTACAGAATTACATATGCATACTTATGGATGAAAGGATATGGATAAATTTTGGCATAATGTTTCGAAATAGTTAATTAACATTTCAATGAACCAATTAATTAATAATGTTTGTAATATGGATGAGACATGAGATCAATTTTAATCGTAATGCGTTTATGGTAATGGAAAATTATGGTACAGGTAAATGAAACATTCGGTTTGAATGAGGCACCAACCTCGCTATGCCATGATTTCTGAGAGCTGCTGTGCTCGTTATCTCCATTTGATTCTCAAATATAGAGGGATTGGTCGAGGCATTGCCGTGTTTCTTGCGGTCCTTCTCATATTGACGCGATGGTACCAGCAAGTGTCCGTACGAAATATCCTAAGAAATAGATACAATTTTTTTAATTAATTCGCTTAACTTGATTAATATTTGCGTACAGAACTAACCTGGCCACTTTCAGCTTTCTTTATGCCTAGCAAATCGAAGGGGTCGAAGGGAGCATCGTTAATGGAGCTCAAGGGGCGAGAAGTGGATGGGTTGCGACGTCGACGATCCTCCTTGCGTATCTCGGCACTAGAACGATATGCAGATATATTAATATCAATTTAATAATTCATTATGATCGTTTACTTACCGTCCATTTTTGCCCTTGTAGTACGGCAATGCTGAGAATATAAAAAATGGCACCTTTTGTGATACCAACAAAATGCGCTCATTGCGTTGTCCCAATCCTACACCCGGAGCTCGACGTCCATCAGTGATCTGCACGGATTTACCGAAACTGTTGCGAAAACTGCCAGTGGCAGGGGCCAAACTCTCGGTGCTGCTGTCATCCGTTATATGACTGGCACTAGAACCGCTTCGAATGTTGTAGTTGCGTTTTAGTCCGCTAGTTGCAATGAGTCCGGCATTGCTTCCTCGCATTCCAGGTGCAGTATTCAGACGGGCACGTCTCTCTGGCTGCAAGCTCTGTTCGCTAGCTCCATTGCTGAAGGTTCTGCAATTGAGAATGAGGGTTGAAAATGAGAATTAAGTATACAAAAGCCATTGGAATAACTTATTTACTTATGCATCTGATGATCTTTAATGACAAGCCTCAAATGCAACAATGAGCGTATATTCCCCTCTACTCACTCACTCAAGCTTACKCACTCGCTCGCTCTCCATTCAAAATCCCTTCAAACAGCCACACATCAGTTTGGGTATTTTAACGACGCATCATAATTTCCCATTCTCTCATTGGCTCTTCCTTCAAAATACCCACAGCGATGTGGGTATACTTAACGGCGCATCATAATTTCCCTTTCTCTCGCTCGCATCATAATATCCCATTCTCTCATTGGCTCCCCCTTCTAAATACCAACAGCAGTTTGGGTGCATTTAACGGCGCATCATAATATCCCATTGCCTCTCCCTCTCGCTCTCTTTCTTTAAATAGCAGCATACAGAAGATGCACGCACACACCCCAAAGAGGTGATCGATATTTTCACAGGCTTGCAGCAAAGAGCAGTCCAAAGAAATTTTGTCAATACGATCGAGGTTCACACTGCATACATACATACATATATACACACACATACACATGATGTGGGCATTCATAGATCGTTGTTTATTGTTTGTCGTGCGTTTTTCGTAGAAAATAAACATCGAGTTTGTATTTATTGGACTGCAACTGCAGAAGGGCATCTTGTTGCTATTTATTTCTGTGCGCCTGCTCAATTACCTTGAGATAATTGGTATAGATCGAGGTTACGCTCCAGCTCCAGCTACAGCAAAGGGCTCCAACAAATGGCACCTAAAATCACGTACACAAATTTCCGTGAAATAGCGTTTGCATTAATTAGGAAACTCGCTCAAGGGGGGACCCATACCCATAAGCAATATGATGAAGTGGCGCCAAGCCTGTCATAACCCGTTAATTAGTTGGAGTATTCGAATAGGCGCCCAGAAATGCCAGCAACCAAACGCCACACACAACAAATGAGCGGAGCAAAAGACCAAAGGGAAGACGGAACGCCAAAAACCACGCACACACGCTTACGCACACGCACACGCACGTCTATTATGTTATTTACATGTTTACATGGAATTTAAATGCTCAACAAACTGCAGCCAAAGGCGGAGAAGAAGAAGAAGCAGCAGAAGACATTTCCAAAAGGGCACGCAGTAGAAAATATACGACGACGCGTCATCTTGTGTAACTTATCGACTCTTCAAATAATGAGCGAGCTCGTGCGTAAGTATGTGTGTGTGTGTTTGTGAGTGCGAGCACAACAATACGGTATTTAATGCGATGATTAGAAGCAACTGGGAGAGAAGAGTATAGCCCTAGAAGAGAGACGAATGCAACGCCCACAAGCAGTGTTACCGAATCAGCTATTTTGTAGCTAGATCTGGCTACTTTTTAAGGCCGATTGCTACACAAATTTTCAAACAGCTATTAGCTACAAATCTGGCTATTTTCAAATATTACATTTAGCTAAAATGTAAGCGAACTTATAGCAAAATTTGCTTTGATACTTTTTAAATGTAAATGATTTAAATGTATTAAGTTTTGTGTAGAATTAATACTACAACTGAAGAATAGGTAAGCTTTCTAAAATGTTATGGAAAATTCATTTCTTATCAGTTTTTATACCCTGAACCCATTTTCAATGGGAAATCAGGGTATAATGGTTTTGTGAAAAAGTATGTAACGGGCAGAAGGAATCATCGCAGACCCCATANATTTTTTAACTCATCCGATAACTTTTTTATCGAGAATGATCGAAAAATTTATTTTGTTATTTATGCTATGAGTATAGCGTTCCACACAACGACCTTAAAAAGGCAAATTATAAAACCGACAATGGTGAAAATGACGAGTTGGTAGTAATAGATGAGATATTATCTAAATTAAATTAATAAAGTTGACTTTTTGTGAAAAAAAACAGCACTGATTTCTTTTTTGCTACTTTTTCAGCTATTTTAGAAGAAAGTTGGCTACTTTTAGCTACTTTCAGCCTTCGGTTTTGCTACTTTTGCTGAAAAAGTTTCGGCAACACTGCCCACAAGTGCGTGTCGTAGTGCAAGTGGTAGACTGAYTGACTCTCTCTTTCTCTCCCTCTTCCTCACTCTCACACTGTTTTTGGTCATGTGTGTGTATGTGCGTGCGTGTTTGCTGGCATTTTTGAGTTGTTTTTTTTCGGTAGCTGTTTTCTAACGACATCTGCGCGCCTGTACCATCGGCAAACAATATTTAAATTTCAAACAAATATTTCGAATACCCATGCACAGAGTTGACAAACATAATCTAATTGGAATTTAAATATAAGCCAATTGGAATTCAATAAAAACTGACAAAGAGAGTTTTAATTACTAATTTAATGCAATATATAAAACCTCGGTCCTATTTTCATGCAACTTTCATTATATTTACTAAATTATATATAAATTGTAAACAAGAATAATTTCATTTAAACTTTTCTTAATAAATATGTTGTTTTGTTTTATAAGAACTGTTACTTTTTAAATGAGCTAACAGATATACCCCACTATCAACGTGAATTTGATTACATATTTTTAATTACACGCCATTGTCATCTGTTGGCAATCAAACTTCCAAATGTGATTTGTGCAACAAGCAGCGTATACAATATCAATTGAAAACAATTAACTTTTGCCTTATCATTGCTGCGCTGCTAGCTGCTTATCATTCATTACGCTCTTATCAGCTCTTCAGCACTTCATATAAGAAAGTGTATGCCTTTATATTACAAATATATATTAATAGGAAAAACTTGTCGCTCGTGCCTCACGTGCCCAACTACAATGTGATTAAAATCAGTTTGCATAACAAAACAAAAGCAAAACAATAAGCAACAATATGTATATTTAGAAACCCAACTTTGATACTCTGTTTCGATAGCCAAAATTAAGTATATTAGCTTGGTGCATTGACAATTTGCATTTACTCTTTTAGCCTAAGTTTAATAGAAATGTATGAATTTAGATTCCAATATTATCCCTCATTATAGCAAGGTTAGCTCTAAGCGAAAAATCAAACATAATTGGTTGACCATGGGTATGGTATGTATGTATGTATATACCCCATATACATATACATTTCTATTATATAAATTAATTAGTAATTAGCATAATGATATACTATTTATTGTTCATAATTATTTATTATGTTTTTAATTGTTTGTTTATTTCTAGTTCATTGAAACCAATACACTCTTGGTTTTCCTCAGTACCTGTATCAGCCAGTCGGGTTTGGCTCTCATTGTTCAACAACTTGACCTTCGGCTAAAGAGCTTTAACATATTTTAAAGCCTAATATATACATATGAATGTAAATACATACATATGTGTATTTATATTATTTATAAATTCGATTGTAAAAAGTCGAAAATTTTGACGTAATCATTAAAACTCAATTTAGATTAGCTTATCTGTCGGGATTGACGAAAGACCCTTGTTTATTAAGCACTGTCAATGTCAACAGAATAAGACTTGAGAATATAACTCGAAACTAAGCAATGAATGTGCAACAGATCTACACAGCAATAAAGTTGGGTAGACGACGCCCATTTGCAAATAGAATGCAAGATAATGAAAGATAAGTCTAGTCGACGGGTCTATAAATTTCCATTCAGCCATATGCAAACTCTCTGTTCATATATTTACACATATTTAAGGCGATTTTGAGTTCGCTTTATCACAGTTCTACGTTTTCGCAATCAGTCAATTATTCAATTTGTCATTGCATAGGCGCTATTAAAACTAATGCCTAAAGATAAAGTAACAACAAAACTAACAACAACGACAACCATTGAACAGGCTGCTTCTTACGCTCTCTCTGTCTCTGTTTCTGCCTCCACTGCTAACATTCTGCTTATGCTCCTCTCTCTCTGTCATACGTTCGCTCTCTTCAGTTGTTGTTGCTTATCAGGCTCTCGCCTGGGCTTGAGGCTCGCAAATTCATACATACAAATGCTCCGTTAAATTGTGACTCTATACGAAGTGCTTATACGCAGCACAATCGGCTTGAAGAGGTTCAAAGCGGTTTGAGCGAGTTTGCGACTTTTGTTATGGTTGTTGTTCATTTTGTTTTTGTTTTGGTATTTGCCAGCTCGTCGAAGCGAATGAATCAACACAACACACAAAAGCAACTGCTGATGACCACCGCACAAAGACCAAAAACTTTGGAAGTGACAGAGAAATACTGAGAGAGGGAGAGCGAGCGCGTGTGAGAGAAGGGAGCGAAAAGTTATAAAGCTGTTTTTACCATTAATATTTTGCATGTTTGTTTACACACACACATACGTACATATGTAAGTCCATAAATATCCAATACGCTGCGCTCGGTGGATAACAAATTGACAATAATAACAACTAACTGCGCAATAGTATTTACATTGCATTTTTTTTAATGCCAATAAATTAGCTGGCCCATGCCGTAAAAGATCAGGAATGTCTTAACTATTTCCTTGCGATTTTAAATGGGTTTCTTGAATGAATTTTTAGTGTCATAAATATGCTCTACTGACATATATTTTGCAACCCCTCGATATTAGAAACCCTATACCTTTGGCATGCAAAACTCCTTTGGTGACCTTGAAAATGTTGCATAAAAAAATGGGAATACAATGAGAGAGAAAGAAGGAAAAAAAAAACAGCTGCCTTCGTAAAGGAAGCGGAGTAAACAAACAGCAATCTAACCGGTACATATTGCGTCGTTAAACAGCTCTGCTGGCTGCCCTTCAAGGCTACCCAGTTCGCAAAAGATGCCAACAAGAACTTGTGCAGAAAGCCGCATTAGAGAGAGGGGAGAGGTAGAGCAGTGCCAGAGGAGGCGGCGGCACAGGCAGAGGACGAGAGAGAACGCGTGTCTGACGCAGGTTTTCGGTTACGGGCAACCCTGACATTGACATTGAGCGAAACCGCGCACAGGAGCTAAACGCATGAAGCGTTGCCAGACTTTTGCTTAAAGCTCCATTTCAGTGTCAAGCGCGGCGTTTTGTGTGTCCTTGAGAGTGCGTAACATCAAGTAAGGGTTATGCGGAAATAACCAAATCAATTTACAAATTTTATGACGTAATAGAGAACATTTTGAGCTTTTAGCAGCTGCAATAGAGAGAGAGAGAGAGAGGGACAGCCAGAGAGTGAGAGAGTTCGAGTACAGCCGGAGCCACCGCCAATAATCAACTTGTTAGACAAAATGCCGCAATCCAATATTTTTGTTTACGTTTTTCGTGCAAGGTCTCGGTGTCGCGCTTTTTTTCGGAGAACCTTCTTCCTTCCCTACTATGCACACATATCAAATTTCAAAACAACTTTCAATGTAGAGTCCAAAAATAATAAATAAAAGCAACAGCGAAACAACAAGAAAAGAAAGAGACCCCATTAAATTGGCTTAAAGTAGTTTGTTTTGCTTTTGGCTTTTGCGTCGCAGTTTTCTGCATTTTTCGCCATACAATAAAAAGCACACACACACTTTCATAAACACTTATGCTGTGTATATGAATGGTATTCATCTTTCGCGCATGCGCAGCATTTTTTGTTCTTTTCTTACAGGAAGCAGCATTCCGCGAACGGGAAGCGGGAATGGGAATGAGAATGGAATTTGAACGTCTCAAATTATGAATGTTGTTTTCCATGAATGTTGCTGACATAGTCAAACGGATGTTATTCGAATTATGTAATTGAAGCCTTGTGGGTAAATTGTTGATAATGTGTGAAAAACATTGATTGTTGTTTATTTTTAGTTTGTTATGATATTAAAGCCAAAGTGGAAGCTATTGGTGCAAGGTAATGTCCGGCCCGTAAAACAAAATCAAGAAATTTAATATACTATACGTATGATTATATATTTATTTTTGGAAAATCATTGTTTTGCAATAATAGCAGATAGTGTCGTACATGATATGGCCAGATATTAGCAGTTTAAATCATCTTTAGCCATAATCTAATCAGCTTTCATTGCATGAAATCCAATTGGCTGATAAGCAATACAACCTCTTGACAAATATTTGCTGACGTCTTAGCCTAATTGATAAGTGATACTATACACGTAGCTGTCACATTGACCAAACAATTCAAACAGTTGGCAAAATGTCAAATAAAATTGGTTTAAATTAGCTTAAATGTAAGCTAAACTAATTACATGCACAAGCATACGTAAATACATGTGTGTAGAGACATGTGCTAATAAGATTTACGAGTGGCATGCAAAGCTTTAAGAAACCAATTGGATGATAGGTGAACGACACACCGTAAAACTGCAGCCCAATGACTATGAAAGAAGAAAAAGCGCAACAAAAACAACGAATGCAGAGGCGTAGGTGAAGCGCGAATAAGAAACAAGGTCACCGCGGCAAGCGCCAACGAATTGCAGTGTGCACACACGAATGCAACTATGAGTTTGTGTGTGTGTTTGCACATATTAAAATGCGTCTAGCAGAGCTCAACGCAACTTGAGCAATGTGCTAACATTGAGACAGAAAGCTTTGTGCTGCAACGGGACTGCGTGTGGGCCGATGATAGCCGAAGCGAGATAGATATATCTTGTGGTGCAACTGCTCTTATCAAGGTTCAAGGCAGTTTATTTGCGTTTGTACTTTCTGTGCGCTCTCTCCCACTCTCACTCGATGGGTTATATAAGTACATACGTACATATATGCCATACAGCGAATATAAATAAATAATTATGAACAGTCACAGGCAATATTAATGTTGGCAGCTCAAAATGACAGTAAGACCTATTATTATAAATGCAATATATGTATATACAAGCATACATACATATACATATATGTATGTATGTCGATGCATATGTCTACATGTGTCTTCCATATGAAACATGTTCATCATATTCAGGCGTAGGATATGTACTTACAGACACATATGTACATACCAAATACATGTTAAAGTATATGTAAGTGTGAGTGTGCTCATGTCCCCTGCTCAAAAACGATGTAATTATTATATGAGCACAGTAAAGGCTTTTTGCTCTTCTCCTAGATATGGGATTATGCAGACACACACATGCATACATTTGAGGGAGAGAGAGAGAGTAAGAAAAGGGAAATTGTAACAGCTGACCATCGCTCGATCACACTTTATCTTATGGCTGGCAGATGTCATTGCTCACTGAGAGCATAGCGGCGAGTATAAAGGAGCAAAGTAAAACCGAAATTGCCAATTTTCTATATGCATATGTCCGGCAGACTTTAAAATTTATTTAATGCATTAAGCAGATAGTTAGAACTGCTTTTTGCGTGGCGCATGACTATGAAATAGTTGCGTGTGATTCAGTCAAGCCAGGTGACACAATTCGTGTCAATAAAAGTCAAACAAAGCGTATCTAAATCGAATAAACAATAAACCTAATGATAGCCCGCCCAGCTGGCTATGGCATGAGAATGAGGGGCAGGTCAGGCAGGCTGGGTGGCTGGCCGGCTTTGCAGTTACAAGTGATACACAACAAAAGCCTAAATTAAAGTGGAAGCCGCGACAGCCCACACACACACGCACACGCACAACATGCAATTGTTGTTTATTGTTGTTGACTAATTTGCGGGCTGCCACTCGAATGAGGCGTTTTGATTTGCGTTAATTGGACTGGCACACGTTACCCACTTGAATGGATACGGCGCCACATTCAGCGTGAATCCGCATCCAACTACTATATTTAGCGAGCTGTGAAAAATCTCATCCGTCCGGGGTCCAACTATGCCCGACCATAAGCAATTACGTCAATTCAGAACGAGAAAACGAAAAGAGAGTGATCGTGCAAAAGGGAATGCTCGATTAACAGAATATCCTACTCTGCTTGAAGAAAGTGGGAAATTCGGGACATTTTTGTTTATTTTAATTTGCTTTAATAGGTGAAATTTAAAATTAATGGGCATTTAATGGAAATGGAAAGAAATGGAATAATCTAGCTCCTCTACTGTGCCGCCTTTACTCAGTGTCAAACCGTTTATCAAAATCAATATACCCCATCAATATTTATATGTATCAAATATTGTGCATTTTGTTCGAGCTCGAGCAATACATAGATTCAATTAGCCGTACGACAGCTGTGAGAAACTTTAGATATGCATAAACAAATGTTCTTCGCTCGCGCTTTTCACTTGTAAAATCATTGGCCTGAATTGTTTTGCTTAGCCACGACGCGTTAAGCTTGTTAACAAATTGAACACCAGGTGTCAATTGCCAGCAACTTAATTGGAAATTTCAACATAGCAAAAATATTGGACCAACTTTTTTTTTTTTTTTTTTATCTTTATCTCGCTCTCTCTTTTTATAAATGAACAAATTGAGAAACATTCATGATTCACATGAATTATAAATCAGTTTTCGAAATTATTTTAAAATTAATAATACTAATCACGTAATAGATATGTGTAGGCCTATTAATAAATTGCATTGGAAAATAATATTTGGATAATTAAATTTATGAAGGTGTAATAAATAGGCCTAGAAAAATAATATGACGTTAAGTAATCTGCTTGGTAATCGGCAAAATATTGATCATTTATCGATGAACGATTAGATAAAATTAGTTATGCACTGGAATTGTTTTAAGAAATTAATGATTATATGATTATTAATGGCTTAAAATTTGTTAATTTTGTATGCGTCTTCAAGTGGGAAGCGAATGAATTTGGAACTTCCGATCACCTTGAAGGAGCTAAGGAAGGAAAATTCTATGAAAAGAAAGAGAGAGTGGGAGAGAGATAGAAAGAGAGGGAGAGAGAATCAGAGCATGTCTTGAACAAGTTATTTAGTAAATATTTATATCAAAAATCCCTTATATGGACATGATATTATTAGATAGATTTTCTAAAACTTGTTTATCCACCAATTTACCCATAGCTTTAAGGCCATCAAGAATAGAGTCATCTAGAATATTATTAAAGCTATATAGATTACAAAGACTTCATTGCACTTACCGTTCTCGTAGCGGCAATAGCTTTAAGCCGCTGCCCAAATTGGAGACCTTCAGCGGTATCTTGACGCTGTCGGAATCGCTGCCGCTTTCAGCACCAGAACCGCCGCTGCCGCCACGTTGCTGCTGCTGCTTGATGCGTCCCGATTTCGGTGTTTGCTGCTGCTGCTGCTGGCGGCCACAGGAGGTGGGCCGCTTTATGTTGCGTCTCTCAGCCTGGATGGGCGGATCGCTTACATTCATCAGGTATTGACCCATATTTTCAGTTTCACTAAAACCATCACCATCGCTGCCACCGCCAACTCCGGCGGCATTGCAGTCGTCCAGGCCGCACAGTCCGACGCTGGCGTCGCTGCCGCTGCCCATRTGCACATCGGCGCTGCAGAGCAGAAGCGCTGCTGAGGCGCTGCCACCGCATTTACCATTTTGATGCTGATGTTGTTGTTGTTGATGGTGGTGGTATTGTTGTTGTTGCTGCTGCTGCTGCTGTGGTTGGCTGCTGCGCTGCTGATGATTTCGTTGATAATGCTGATGATAACCGCCGGCGCCGAGTCCCAACGCTGCCGCTGCGTTGCCTTTGCTGTTGTTGCTGCTGCTGTTATTATTGTTGTTGTTGTTGTAATGCTTCTGCTGCTGCTGCTGMGTGCAGATGCTGCTGCCAAATGTTGCGCCAAATTTTGTGTCCCGATGTGTGCCATCTAATGAGATATTCGATAGAAACGAGATCGCAGCCAATCTGCGCCTGTGTCTCGTCTTGTTTAGCGAACTTGCCATTAGGCACTTAACCGTTATCCCAACTCGAACAGATGCAATCGACAATGGATAGAGAGAGTGAGAGTGCGAGGCGTGAGAGCGAGCGAGATAGTTCGCGTGAGCTACTAAGATACGTTTCCAATGGAATGTGATACAGTTAACGGCGAGCTTTCCAGCCTAATACTTCCAGTTTCCTATTGCACTGCCCGAAACACACACACGCACAACGACAAACACGCACACACACAAGTTTCTTGTGCAGTTTCAATTATATTCGTATGGAATATTCTAGTGTTGTATAAATTCTTTTTAATTTTTTTTATTGTTTTAAATTAACAGTTAAACTGTTTAGTCTCTAAATTACTTGTACGCGACATTTTGATAGTAAAATTTTGATTGACACAATTTTTAAAGAACAAAAACAAATTTATGCACTTGGATTGTAGCTTGATGTTCAAGATTTACTGCAAGAAATGAAAATCAAGAAAATTTGTAAATGATTAATAAAGTCAGTTAAATTTATTATATCACGAATTTTACATACTATAAGTATACAATTAGTAATTCTGGTATACAAAATAATCAAAATTAAATGCAATTGCATGAATAAATGTTTATATGCATATTCGGTCTCTTCTTCTTCTTCTTCTTCTTCATATCCTTTAAATTCCTTCAAAATAAGGCCAATAAACTTTTAGTGCAGGCTAAAAATTTCTCTAGATAATTCGAAAGAGCTTTCGCTTGCTGCAAGTTCGTTGCTGCCTGCAAAAGCTGCACTGCATTGCTGCGTTTGCGGCTGCTGTTGTTGTTCTTGCTGTTGCGTTTACTGATAAACGACCGGCAAACATGTTGAAAATTTGAAGCTGTTTGTTTACCTGGGCAACCAACAATTTTTAGTTTTAGGGTGGCGAAAATTTTCCATCCATAAAACGAATCAAAATGGAAATTTTTCATACGTSCCAACAGCTGAGAGCAACAACAACAATAACATTGCTAAGGGTTGCCTTCTTTTGCCTGCACTTCAGTATAAATTGGTCCAATTGGATAATTCAGTTGCGACCAGTTGGAAATCAGCACGTGCGCTTGCTAAGGGAAAATCAATGTAGAAACAAGTGTGCGAAAATATCTATATGCACACATACATTCATATGTGTGCATGTGTATGTGCATATATATATATATATTTAWGCATGATTCACGCCCACGCATAGTGTGTGACGTAGGTGTCGACGAAAAAATTATTTATATGTACTTAAAATTGATTTGTTCGTATTTTTTACTTACTCAACCGCAAAAAGAATTCGCTATTTCCTTACACACACCTCTTTGTTTAGACAAAAAAAAAATTATAAATGTTTCAAGCGCGCCATGGTGAACTATTTTTAGCCAAAAGATTTAGAAACTTAGTATCAACTGCCAATAATTACACACTTGGCTATCTTAATTTTAAATTTTTATTTCTTTCTTTTGCTATTTATTTTATTTCGATGCGCAGACTTTGATTTCTTTTGCTTTCCGCTGTTGCCCTTCTTCTTCTTCTTCTGCTTCGTCTTTGGATTACCCCACCCCGCCTCGACAACTGCAATTTCTGGCAGCTGCTTTCGTTGCGTAAAAATCGTGCGTAACCGAAAATACTTTTGAACAAATATGTTTACAGGCCTTTGAATTGGCGATATACAAAATACACATACACGTCTTTACTGTTATTATATACAATTTTTTTTGTCAAGAAATACGAACGCGAATTCTAACACGAGCGCAATGATTGATTCGGCACAAACGACAGAAACGTCAACGTTCCACGGAAAATTCACATTAACTGCTGATAGTGTTACCATACATCGAATTGCTTAAAATACCAGCAAATTCTTTGTAAATAGCAGTGCTTATCGGCTAATGTGCGATGATATTGTGTACATATCGTTTATCCAACGCTCATCTCTAACAGCAATGTGTACACATTGTGTTTCTCACTGTTTTCTTCGCTGAGCTCCACCCTCACCGTTATTGGCAGTGAAGCGAAAAGAAAAAAGATGAAAGAAAACATGTAAAATAATCGGAAAATAAAACAAAATTAGCTAAACTCATTAATCATTCATCGCATACAAGCACCTAACCATCATCGCAACACCCTAAACATGGATCACAATGAAATATCTATGTGCATGGACGTCAAATTGGATACACATGACAAGCGCGCCATTGCACTGCGCTACAAAACATGGACCAGATGTCTCGTCAAGATAGAGGCCATTAAATGTGTGCCCTGTTTCTTGCGCCTCAGCTTCCAGAGCCTGCCCGACGATGAGCCCCAGCAGCAGCAACAGAAGCTGTTGACCGTCTCGGTGAATGTGCCTGGCGTGAGCATCAGCATGGCCACCTCGCGCACCAAGCAGCATTCGTATGGGCTCTTCTGGACGCAGAATCGTCGTGATTGCTTCATCTATTTCGCTTTAGAAACGGAGACGGCCTGCCGCAGGCACATGAAATGGATTAAGAAGTCCATCAAAAATTTGGAGCTATATAGACAGGTCTTCCTGGAGCAGCGCAGACTCAGTCGCGACACCAGGTGAGCATAGGCCGCAGTTTGATAAAGATCCAAGGAAGTTAAAAAGTTAAAATCCTAAATAATGCCCCAAATCGCATACGATTATAATTATAACTTAATATTATTATAGAATAATAAATATTTCCCATCAAATTTTCTATTTTAGCGCCCAAAAAGCACTTGGCCCGCTGCCTAATGTGCCGGAATCCTTCTGCTTCGATCTGGATGCAAATAGTTTCTCATTTTCTGCACGCGTCTCGCAGATCTATGAGGAAATCTTCGATGGCAGTCGCATCTCGCGTGCATCCATTGCCTCGGGCATCTATGAGGAAATGAATTTGGCGTCCGGAGCAGTTGTAGACACGCCGCCTGTATTGCCACCGCTGCCGGCGCATCGGAAACGCATCAATACATTCGAACTGCAGCCGGGCGAGATACCGCGCTCAAGCACCAATCCAGAATCGGAGCTGGCCAAGAAAAAGAAGTACAAGAATATGTTGGACAACTTCTTTGGGCAGAAGCGTCGCTCGGGCAGCGCCAGCGTCGGTGAGCTGGAGCCCGCCAGCAGGGACCAGGTAGAGGAGCAAAAACAGCAGCAGGAGCGGGAGCTGCAGGCACTGGCCCTCTATGAGAATGCACCCACACCGGAGGCAGCGCTGCCCACTGGCAAACGTATATTGGGGAATATGAGAAATGCCCATCGCAACAGCTTCTCCAGTCCGGATCTGTCCAAGCTCAACTTTCTGGACACTTTCGGTGAGGCATTGTCTAGCGACGAGTTAAACATCAGCCTGGAGGACTCGGCCATTGAGCACGAATCGCGTCAAGTTCTCCTGGCCCAAATCGTGGCCGGCCAGCTAAGCCGTGCCGACTCCCTGGCCAGTCTGAATGTGTCCGAGCAGCTGCCTCAGAACTTCAATTTCTCTGCTTGCAATACGTCCACCATTAATCTGATTGGCTCCAATGGCGCCGTATCGCATGGCAAGCGCAATAAGAATGTGCTGGTGGAGGAGCTCAATGGCTACTGCGTGATGGCGCCGATTATACAAAAGCTGACAGGCAACAACGGAGCAGCACAGCTGGAGAAGAAACCCAGCGGCAGCACAGCATCCACCACATCTGGCTACTCGACAGTCTCCTATAGTTCATCCACTAGCAGCTGCAACACCGACCAGGAACAGGCGGCTAAGGCCACCACCGTTGCAGCTGCGCCCGCTCAAAATGAGAGCGATATATATGAATCGATGCATGTCACGTCGCTCAATGGCAACAGTAACAGCAACAGTGTCCTGGCCGAGCATCTGTATGAGAATCTCCTGGCTGTGAAGGCATCCCAGGAGCTGGAGCAGCAACCGCCGCTCAATCTTGGCTTTGGCCTGAGCACCAGCACGCCCACCGAATCGCCGTTGGTGCCAGCGCTGCCCCCGAAGCTGCAGCAGACGCCCATCACAGCGGAGCAGCGCGAGGCGGAGGAKGAGGACTACTACCAAACGCCGCGCAAGTCCATCATCAGCGTGGACGATAAGATACCCTCGTACTATCCCAATAGCTGCGATACGCTGAAATCGAAGCGACGCAGTCCCAGCAGCGCCGAAACAGCGCCAGGTGTGCGTCATTTGGTCAGCGCCAAGGTGCGCCGGGAGCGCAAAGAGAATCTCTATATATCATCGCCCCAGCAAATTATCGAACAAAGGCACAAATCAAGCACTGCATCACCATCATCCACATCCACATCCACATCATCAGCGTCGAGCAAGACTAAAACGTTAAACAAAAAGACTGCCGCCCACAAAATCTCCGAGGGTGTCTATGCCGTCACCCATGCAACAAAGCGACAAAGTATTAGTCATAATAATAACAATAACAATAATAATAATGTGAATGACCTGCAGGGCGAGGAGGAGCTGCTGCAGCTGGTGATGCTGCAGAATATTGATTTCAAATTCGACGACGGCCAAGCGCCCGACCCAAGCAGCAACAGCAGCAGCAGCAGCAGCAGCAAATCCAAGTCCAAAAACAAATCGAAATCAAGTCAATTGGAGGAAGAATACGAGCATTGCTATCAGGCAGCTGAGCGTGCCACGCGCATGCTACAGAAATATGCAACACTCGCCAAATTCGGCAACTCACCCACCAAGCAGCAGCAGCAGCAGCAGCTAAAGGTCGCCATGACACAATCTCATTCAGCTAGCAACTCGCCCAAAGAGCAGCTGCAACACCAACAGCAACAGCAGCAGCAGCAGCAACAGTTGCCACAGTCATCCAGCAACACCATGAAAAAGTTTGCCTCATTGCCGCGCTTTAAGAAAATCGATTTCTCGCCGCTGAAGCTGCGATTCAACAATGTGCTGCAGCGGAATGCAACAGCTGCAGCAGCGCCAGCAACGCCTCAGTAATCAATTCTATGAGTATCGTAATTGTTATTAATATTGTCATTGTTGTTGTTAATGTAGGTAGCATTAAGTTCAAGTGTTTAGTTCGCATGTGATTTTTCTTTAGCTAAATGATTTTAATATATATTTGTATACAGTTGCGGGCATATAAATAGGACACTCAAAATTTAGTGATAAATTCCAATCAATTTTAAAAAGAATATTAAGTTTGACATATATTGTTATTAGTTTAGATATTTGATATTCAATTTAACATAGATTTTTTTTTTTACTATTGCTACTACTTTTATGACCGCAACTGTATGCTTATTCTAGCTCAAACGCTTAGCTTTGTAAGCCTTCTATGTAATGCCTGTTTTGCCATAAAAATAACTGTAATTAAGTCTAGCTACGCACAGATTTGATCATATCAATGTAAGAGAGAAACCAGCTAAAGCCATATCTAATATCTGCTGTTGTGTCCAATGGTTGTCCAATACCCCCCCGAACCCATATTGGGTATGCGTGTCTGTCTACATATGTATTGTATTGTAATATCCTATATGATGTAGTCTTAAACTTAAGTGTGCTCAATTATATATAGAGTAAACTCGAAAAACGCTTTTATACCATATACATACATATATACAAAATGAAACTATTGTTGACTTATTTTAACTAACTGAAAGTAAAACAAAAAATATTATTTTAAGATAAGCTTAGTGCGCTTTCCTTAAACTTTCAGCAGCTCTATGTGAGATTACGCTTAAATATTTCTAATTATACTCTTTGATGTAGTTTAGTTGAATTTTATAAAAAGAAAGAGAAAGAGAAGAACAACAAATTATGCTATCAAATGCTTCGCAACATATCAAACAAATTGTAAACTTAGAGCTAATCAAATGTCCAATTTATATACACAAAAAAAAACTTTATTATATGTAGTATATATTTGTATGTCGCACAAATGAATGTATGTGTCAGGCATTCTTAGCTTCTACCGCAAGGATATATGAACTATGGATATTGAATAAGCTTCTTTTACAGCGCTAACAAGGCTCAATTGTACCGTGACTAAAATATAAAATATATAATAAAAACATATACTTTATACATATTTCGCAGCAATTGAACAATAAAAACTAATCAAATGCTTGTTAACTACTAAAATTACAACGTATTGCTTATATTTATCCCTATCATAGTCTCAGCTGTAGACCATGGGTCGTCGTTGCTGATGGAGGAACTCCTGTTCGACACGCGTATCCTTGGTCACCACATAGAAAAGCAATGCGCCGCCCGAGACAAAGAAACCCTTCTCACTTATAATCTCACGCAATGTCTTCGCCAGGTCCACCTTGTGCACACAGCCCGCCTTGCGGTTCTCATAGTAGACATGTACATTATCCGGACGATAGCTCAGAGTCCGGTCACAAGGCAACGGCTCCGCGAACAGTGTGTTCAGGCAATCTTGCATGGTGGCCGTCTCGGGCAGTTGTTGTTGGAAGTCGCTGAGCAGGAATTCGGGATACGAGAAGGCAGCGGGCCAAATCAAGGTGCTGTTATCCTCCGCATCCAAATGTACTGGATAATCCTCGAGGGGCAAAAACTTCGGTACCAACAATTGTTCCGTAATATTCGCACGTTTATTAATGGGCTGATCATCAAATTTGATGGCACGCTGCTCCAATGCTGCACGCAGCTTCTGGAAACGGGCCAGGTTGCGTTTGGTTTCGGCCGCTTCCTTGCGCTGATTGCGATCCACTTCGAGCTTTCTCATTTTATTCTTATGCAACAGCGCCTTGGCTTCTTTATGATCAATGTCCACTTCGAGCAGCTCCTCGCACAGCTTCGTGCATACATCGAACTTCTCCAATTCATAGGCACATTGAGCAGCACGCCAGCGCGCCTTCGTATAGTCCGGCTTATAGAAGAGCGCACGCTGCGCATCACTCAGAGCCGAACGATAATTCTTGAGGAAGAAATGTGCCGCTGAACGATTGTTATAGAGCACGGCCAGCACATCGGGATTGTCGCACTTCGTTTTGATGGCCTCGGTGAATGAGTAGACGGCCATGCGGAATTTCTTGTGCTTCATATAGAAATTGCCATCCTCTTTGTAGTTGAGTGCCAGCTCTTCTTGCGTATTCTCGTCCGGATCGTATTTGAGCTTTTGCAGACCCTCGAACATCGGATGCACCTCATCACCTGGCTGTGGTGTTTTCTTCATGAAGAACGGATGCTTGTCCATTTCCTCCTGCCAGCGATCCTCTGGCCAGCCCTCCTCATAGCGTTTCTTTTCCAAGCCATCGATGAATTCATCCAGCTGAGCATCTAACTGCGCCGCCAGCTCTAGCCGCTCCTCATCAGTCCAATTCTTTTTCGTCGCCAGGTTTTCCATTTGTGTCTCTTTGTATGGGAATTGCACATGCTATGCTTCATACCTGTTGTTGGAGGCAAGTATGCAGATACACGAAAGTAATCGTGACTTTTGGCGAATTATAACTAGGTGGCAACGTACGATTTCAAATGAATTTATTGAGTTGTTTTTATGTACAAATGCATAAGTTAATGGCCAACAATGCAATACAAATTGATAAATGTGATGCATAACATTTACCAATTTGTTATACATTAAATATGTTCATGCTTATATTCAATTATTAAAATATCACATTTGCTTGCAACTACAATATTTATAGTTGTGTGGCAACGCTCATAGTCCCATTTGTTTACATGTGATAAAAAAGTTTTTGGCGCGCAAAACATGAGATGAATGTGGAAAATATGGAAGTGGATGAAAATGCACCGCAACAGTAAGTTTTAAGAAACGCAAGTAATATTCGAACTATGTTAAAATTATTCACATATTCTAGTTATGTGCGAACACCAGAGGACGTCAAGGCTATTGTTAAGCATGCCAAACTGGATGAGCGCCAGCTCACGCAAGTAACACAGGCCTTGTATTATCCAAGCGCTCATGTTGTGAGTGACAATTTGAAGCTGTTGGAGTTGGATGAACACATGTTGCAACAGATTCGAAACGGTCAGACGTTGCACTTTAAAGGCGGCCTGCATGAGAAAGTTGTGCTCTGCACGGATGAACGCACCTATGACGTGAAGGGCGCCGAGATCTCGAATAGTTTATTATTGGTGCCTGATTTAAAGTTTGCTGCCGCAACGAGCACTTCGCCACTGAAGAGTCCGCGTACGGGCAATGCAAATACGTCGCTGGAGCGCAGCCTCAACGACAGCGCCGATGATGATTTGGAGGTGCCTCGCACTCTCGAACAGCGACAGGTGCTCACAATATTCCATGAATACTTTGAATGTCGTGAGATACGCCCACGATATCGCAAACTGGGCGAATTGCTGCAGCTGACTCGCTATTCCGGGCCAGAGAACGAATATTGCATTGAGCGCAAGCATCTGTTCAGCTTCCAACAGCTGCTGAATACAGTTCAGTGCAGTCGAGCTCAGTTTGTCGATGGACTGCAGCAGCTTAGGGCAATCGAGTTCGATGGCCACATACGCATACTCGACTACGAGTATGAGTATCGCATTATTAGCTTGATGCTGGGACTGATTAGTGAGAACTCATGGGCACTGGATGAGGTGGAACGTGAAGAGACGATTTATGCCCTGCAAGGCATTGCTCCAGAGCCCGTTGTCGCCGGACTCTTTGATATCTACACAGTGCCCAGCGATCGCTGCCCCGATAAGTTCAAGTACCAGGAGTCGCTGGTGGCGCGGATTGTGGCACAGAATATTTTGCAGCCAGGACTACGTTTTCGCAGCGATGAGTTTATGACCACCTGGCAGGAAGCCTTGCCGGAGGGCATGAGCTGCAAGATCGAGTATCTGCGCGGATTGGGCATCTTAGACAAGGAGGGCGCACAGCCCTGCATTCGCTCCCTGGCTGAGGAGCACCTACCCTCCAATATTATTGATCGCATGCGCGTCTTGTTTAAAACAAAACGCAAATGGACGCTGGACGAGATGGAGCCTTACATTGAGTAAGGAGTAGAAATCATCGTAATCATTATCATATATTAAATCTAATCTAAATTATTTTTCTTTACAGCTGCTTTACCACACCCGCCCTATCCGTCTCCACCTTGCTAGCCAAGCACGCGCGCTCCCTAACCGAGGGCGGCACACGTTACTTCGTTTCTAAGCATTGATTGCATCCATGTCATCAACATATATATATATACTAGCTGGCCCGGCAAACGTTGCATTGCCCTCTATATTATTTCTAGGTAAAAAATTGTTGAAAGCTATGTTGTTCAGGCTGGGATACACTGATAAATTTATTAATCGGATTTTCATTCAAGCACCTTGTTGTAAACGACATTCTTCGTTTTTTGGTCGGGTGCAAGAACAAATAATGCGGATCGTTTGCCAACACGTGAGCATGCCACGTACAATTGACCATGAGAAAAACACGCATTNTAAAAAAAATTTGAACATTTGGGGAAAAAACCGCGTTTTTCAAGTATTCGGCAAATTTTTTCAGTATTTTTAAGACCCTATACTAAACTCGTTGCGGAGACAAATCCAACAAATCAAAAACCATGAAAATTGGTTCAGCCCAAATCAAGTTATAAGCAGTCTTCACTTTTACACAACTTTCTTTTATATATATAGATATTTGTACAGTAAACTAGAATATAATTATTTACACTTTGCGTTTGCGTTTGTTGCGCTGTTGCTTGGCCAGTTTCATGTCCTCGATGGCTGCCTTCATTGTTTCCACAGCGCTGCGGGAATCACTGCTGGCAATGTCCGTGCCCTCGGGCAGCTGACCTGTGCTGGTGGGATACTTAAAGCTGAATCCCTTGGGGAAAATGGGGCGTGAGAGTAGGGCGCTAAGCTGTGCTCGCACTGTGTCAACATGCAAGCGATTGCGTCTCCTTTCAATGATGAATGCATCTTCATCCTGGTCGCTACCACTGCAATAGATAAGGGTATTAGGATAATGACTCCCAGAAATGCATATCCACCTACGACTCATCGTTGTAGCCATCGATAATCATATCCATTTCCTCGGCATGCTTTTTCATCCAACCCTCTTCGCTTTGAGTGCGACGCAACTTCAGTTCCTCCTTGTCCAGTTCACGGGCTAGATTAACTCGCTCCTTGACCGCACCCAGGAAACGTTCAGAGATGGGAAATAGTGGTAAATCCTCAGCTATAAGGGATTACACTGATTATGCTGCTCAGATTTTAAATTTTGAATAACTTACTCCGCTCCAGCGTCTTGTGTAGCCTCACATAGGCCTTCACCTCGCCCGGCTCCATGAACATCACCGTTATGCCATGCTTGTTGGCACGCGCTGTGCGACCCGAGCGATGTACATAGTTCTCGCTGGTGCGCGGCACCTGGTAGTGTATCACGTGCTCAACATTGGGTATATCTAAGCCACGGGCAGCCACATCGGTGGCTATCAACAAGCCGATCGGGTTGTCCCGAAAGCGTTCCAAATTCTTCAGACGTTGCTTCTGAATCATATTCGCGTGCAGCGGCAAAGGATTGCAGTTCAGCAAGCCGAACAACGTGGCTAGCCGCTTGACACAGTCGATGGAGTTGCAGAAGACAATCGTGCGACCAGGATGACGTTGAACAAAGTAGTACAGATAGTAATCCTTCTCATCGATGGCACACAGCAGGCGACTCTCGGTGAGCGTCTGAGCAGTTTCTGAAAAGGGATTGAGACATAATTAAAGGGATTCCTCTATGGATTCGAGTTTACTTACGCTGGCTGCTGGTGATGTCCACAATCTTGGGCTGTGATATGCCCAGTTCTTCTATCAGGCTCTCAATCTTTTGATCCACCGTTTGCTTGATGAACTTGGGTCGCTTGGCCAGATTACGCTCTGTAATATAGTGAATGATAAGTTGAGTGTTCATTATAATCCATGTTTTCTCTTACTTTGCATATGCTCGGGCAGATCATGGACCAATGTCAATGTGGCCGAGAAGACAAAATTTTGTCGCAACTTCTTGCGTTCCTCATCCGCGTTGAGCACCTTGAGCAGGCTGCGCAGCTCCTCGAAGTGGCCCTTCTCCACCATGCGATCGGTTTCATCAATGCACAGGAAACTCACATTTTCAATCTTGCTCAGATGACTATTGCCCTGCGCATACAATTCCCAGAGTCGGCCTGGTGTGGCCACCACAATTTCCGGGCATTGACGCAGCACGCGCTCCTGCTTGGCCACGGACAGGCCGCCAAAGATGGCGGCGACATTGATGCCCGTATATTTGGCGGCACTGACCAGATGATTCTTCACCTGCACGGCCAATTCACGGGTGGGCGTTAGCACAACGGCGTAGAGTGGCCGCTGCCTCGCTTCTGGGTCATTCTCGTTGTCGCTCTCCTCATCACTGGCCCCGGACACATAGTCCAGCTCCTCTGGCGGCGGTGTCAGCTCATGGTTATCCTTTGTCGGCGGCGCCTCTTCTACTGGTCCTTGAGCGCCTTTCACCTTTGGCGCCTTGCGTATGCCAGAGTCATCGTTGCGCTGCTTCAGTTCCATTATGCCCGAGAGTATGGGTATGCCAAAGGCAAGAGTTTTGCCACTTCCTGTCTCCGCTGCACCCAGTATATCCTTCTTGCCGTGTATAGCTGCCGGCAGAGTCATGGCCTGTATCTGGGTCGGCGCCTCGTAACCCAGCTCCGCCAAAGCTCGCATAATTGGCTCTGGTACGCCCATACCGTGCCATTTCGTCATATCCAAATTGTTTGGTTGTGGCTCACATGGCACTAGCTCAGGCACCTGCTCATCGTCGGCACTCTCTGCACCTTCCAGCTGCTCATCATCTGATGGCGGCGGCGGTCGCAGCAACGCAAAGCGGTCTGGTTCGTAGTCCTCGTTGGGTGTGAATTGTGATTTGATTGGTTTGGTCTCCGTTGCTGTGGGCGCAGCCTTCTTTTGTTTCCGCTCTTTCTTACGTTGTTCACGCTTCTCCCGCTGCTTCTGCAGTCGCAGTGCATGTCGCTCAGCCAGCTTAGCTTTCTTTTTGCTGGCTGCCCCATTCTCAGCATCATCGTCGCTCTCCTCCTCTTCACTCGAGGACTCCTCTGAATCTTTTCCTGATTTAGATCGTTTACGTCTGTTCTTCTGCTCATAGCTACTGTCGTTGCTCTGTTTCTCAGTTGATTTTACCAGCGCTGGATCGTACTCCTTGAGAACTTCCAGGCCAATCATTCCCTCGTAACCGGTAAAGTCGTCTGATATCACATGACCCTTAATTTTCACCTTCTGCCAGCCCTTCGACCTCAGAACTGGTATGTCGCTGTCGCTTTTGGGTTTCTTTTGCTTAACATTTCCGTTATTCTTAGCTTTTGTCGCCACCATGTTCTCATTAAATCAAATAGCACCTCGATCTGGAGCCGTCCGCGTGTTTCGTTTGTTGATATTGAATTGTACAGGGCTGTTACGCAGCAGTGTTGCACAATGCCAATAGTTATTATTAATATGTGTAACTTGGCGGGAAAATTCAAATAACACCAAAATTTTGCCATTTCAACACATTTAATTAGACTTTTATATAATTAACTATAGAGTTTTGCTACTCAACCTCGTATTATCTCGGCTCAGTCTTTTTATGTTCGAGCAGAGAAAATATGGCACGACAGAGAACTCATTCTCATCTAAAGCATCAATATGCGCTTTTGTGCCTTTCTCTAATTCTCTCTATGCTCTATCCCTCTCTCTATCTATTTCAATAGGGAACTGGAAGTATTATCCTCATTAACGACATTCAATTCATATCGAGTGAATGGTCATTGATAACAACCATATAATCGCTAAGGAGCTTCATTCAGCATATTCCCCTTCAGAAACTAGTTATTGCCAATTACTTTAGCACTACGATAAACAGTTTAAATAATTAACGGTTTTAGAAAACACACATTTATTTAATGAATCATTTCGTAAACTATTGCTCATTTTATTTTTAAAAGCGCTTCAAGAACTCCTCAGCACAGGTGCGGGCGCGAGCATTCACCGCCAGTTTCATTTCACTAATTTCTTTGTCGATTTCCTCCATGAAGCTAATGACGAAGTCCACCAGCTTATGTTTATACATTTGTTCCGTATGGAAATTTGTTATCAGAAAGCTAATATCGTATCCTTCGATTGGCTTACGGCGCAATATGATAAAGGATTCAGCGCGACGCATCATGAACCGTGTAAACTTGTGGCAAAGAATGCGCTCGATTTCATCTGCTTGCTTCACAGCAATGCTCACACGCACCGAATTGATGGACGGCTCAATAAGCACCTTCTCCCTCTCATTGCGAGAGACAACGATAGGCGTGAGCACTAATTCTTTGCTGGAACAAATTTCCACCTCCGGCTTGTTGTGCCGTTCCACAACCTGCGACGGGAAGTCCTGTAGGCACATTGCAGCAGTCAGGGAATGGCGGACAGCGGTCAAATATGGTTTTAAGGTGGCGGCCATTGTTTGTTGTAACTTATAATTTTTATTATGATTCACACGATGGTAGTACAATGTTATTTTCTTATCATCGATTAACAACTTAGCTTCGATAGTAATGGAATGGTGTCCATCAATATGAAATAGTATCGATTATCCGTATCGAATATTAAATGCTTTTGGATGCAAAAATACGGCGTTCCCGATAACAGTTATCGACCGACCTTATAGTATATCGGGCAGCAGCATTTGCAGCAGCATAAAAGTATTACAAAAAAAGAAAATCGTTTTGTTTGTATCTAAATGACGCGGTAGTTGTGGCCTATAGAGCCTACCAGGAAATCAGCAAGATGTGGAGCGGCATCGCGCTGCTCCTACTCCTGGCGGCAGCTGCCCACACATCGCCAAGCAATGAACATGTTCCTCCTCTACCTCTAAGCATAAGCAAAAACACAACCATAACAAATGAAACCATACCTAGCAATAATTACAAAGTGCCTACGTCCAATGCTGCTTCTGCTGCTATCGGCTACATGCCGCTCCAGCAGAGCTCAGCAAGTGTTTTCTTCGTCAACTACAATCAGCAGAACGTTGTGCAGCTGAGGCACAATGTGGAGAACAAGCTACATAGTATACGTAATGTGGAGATGCTAGTAACGAAAATACAAGTAAGTGCCATGATATGCTTTAAGTGTGCCATAATTCACATCGACTTCTTGCAGGAAATCTTCGACTCTATACATTTTGCCAGCTCAGTGACCACGCGGCTGTCGTCTGGCAACGACAACGAGACCGTGCAGCAGGATCTGCAAGCGTTTAGCCAGCGTCTGGGACGCAAGCTGCAGAGAGCCACGCATGTTGTACTCGAACTGCGGGACTTATTGCGTTCCAATCTTAGCAAAGTGCTGCTGCAGCAGCACAGCTACGACGACGATACCGAGGAGGAGCAACAAAGTGAATTTGACTTTGAAGTTGAGGAGGACGAGAACAGGAATGCGGCTGCCAATAACGAGAATATGCATCTCTATCTGAATACGCAAATCGAGAAATGCCAACCGTATTATGAGACAAATGTGGATGCCGTCTCCTTGGCTTCGGCCCATTACAATAAACAGCAAATACAAATCTTGAATTATCTAAAATCGGATGAGGTATCGCGCGCCACCTTCCTGAACGAGAACAATGGTCGCTCGCTAGCCGCCAATAGTTATATTGCCGATCAGTTAGCCATATTGCGCCAGCTCTTGAGCAATAATCCAAGCGACAACGAGCCCAATAGCAGCAGCAAGATCAAGCACAGCAAAAATAAAGCCAGCAGCAGCAGCAGCAGCAGCAGCAACAGCGCCAGCCACTTTAAGCACATCTATTTCCTCTCCAGCAGCGATGGAGCTTTGGGCACAGCCCACTTTCGTCGCCTGTACGTTTCGGCCATCAAACGAAAGTTTGTGATGCTGCTCATAGATGTGGGATCGGCGCTAAATGCGGAACTCTTTGAAATAACCAAGAGCTTTGGTAGGTGTTTAATGGAGCAGAGCAACTGAGGATATTTAAACTAACATCTGAACTTTCTATATTTTCCCACAGTTCAAGAGTTGCTGCTGCTCTTGGAGGACACGGACTATATATCGTTAGTGACTATATCCAGCGAGGCGGACTATATGTATTTGGATGCGTTTCCTGCAGACGCGGCTCACGGCATTTATAGCGCCACGCGTGCGCACAAGGATGAGATTCTTAGCTATGTGAACAATCTGAGCTTTGGTCGCGGCATGACCAACCACACGTTGGGCTTTGAATATGCGTTTGAAATGCTGCATCGACTGCAGCAGGCACAGCTCGTCAATGTGTCGGAGCAGCCCATTGAGTTTGTCTATGTAACGCGTGGACTGCTCACAAATCTGTCGGATGCCATGCATGTGTTGCGTGTGTTGGCACAGGGCCAGAGTCGTCTGCTTTCGCCGGTTATCATCAACACCTGCGCCGTGGTGCTGGACGAGAAGCGCATCATGTATGAGAAGCAGTTCCTCAGCGATGTGGCCACGCAGAACTATACGAAGTTCGATATTGATGTGAGTGCATGGCTGCCCGCTGGCCAGGAGGCGCAATTGGCTGGACGTTTCTTTGTACTGAACAAGATGCACGCGGAGACAATACCACGGGCGAGCAGCCGCGTCTTTGGTCAGCTTTTCACAGAGCGTTTTCTCAGCGACTCCCTGGAAGTGCATCAGCCCGCTGTGGATGCCGAGAGTGGAGGTGAGTCATTTGTGTTTGTATTTATATTACTTTCCGAAGTTAATAATCTTCACATTTGCAGATGTCCTGGTTGCCATCACATATGCCGTGCCGCCCTATGGCGTGGTGGGCGTGAATTTGTATTTGGCTGACTTGTTGGAGGATTTGCTTAACTATCCGACTGCTTCGCCCGCTGCCAAGCAGGGCTTCAGCTATGCCTTTCTGCTGGATCGTGACACCGGCAATACGCTGGCCCATCCGGCATTCCCACGCCCGCTCATCCAGCGTGAAACAGCGTATCCAGTGAACATAGCCTATCTGGAGAATGCAACGGACTTTTCCAGCATCCTCGGACGTATGCTGCATGAGGAGCGCGGCAATGCCAGCACTGGCGTCTACTTGGGTCGCCAGCAGCTGTTGCGCACCTATCACTGGCAATCCGTGCTGGGCATTTATGTGCTCTGTCTGGTGAGCACCGCCAGCATCAGTGGCACTGCCGCCCACAATACATCTGTGCCGCAGCAGCGCTACAATCGCTTGGATGCTGTATCGAGCTACGAATCTGGTTACTATGGCGATAGCATGGATATATTGTACCACCGTTTGGACTTGCTGCAAAATGCCGCCACTGGAGCGCCCGCAAATTGCCGTTACTTCAGGCAACTGGCCACAATGGGTGAGCTAGCAATGGGTTTGATTATAGATATATCCAAACTGTAATCCTCTTCTACTTCTTCTTTACAGATGCACCCACTCTCTTTCTGAGCGCCGCCGCCTTTAATTCGCCCTTTGCATTTCTGCACAACAATCGCCCACGCACACAGCTGCGTCAAGTGGAGTCCATAATGGCTTATTTGCGTGATTCCCGTGGTCTGTTCGCTAATCCCGGGCTGCGGCCACGCATACGGCACGAGGTTGTGGTCTTATATCAGGCTATGCAACTGCTACGACGACGGCATCAGGACTCGAGCGGATCGTTGCGTGCTCACATTATCAGACGTTATATAGCCAGTGTCAGTGGCGTGCTGCAGATATATCCGGGTTGCCTGCTGAGCAGCAGCTATGATGCAACACGACGTCCCTGGTTCCGGCAGGCCATGGCCCAGCCGGGTCGCATTGTCAGCACAGCGCCGTATCTGGATGCTGGTGGAGCGGGCTATGTGGTGACGATAGCGCATACGATATTTGAGGGCAAAGCGGATGCCTTACACTCGGCACAGCAGGATCGGCCTGTGGCTGTGGTCGCCCTGGATGTGCCCTACGCCTTCTACTATCGGCTCATCTTGGACAGCACGCCGGTGTGCACACAGCCGCACATGAAGTGCCTGCTGTTCGAGCACGAAGGCTATTTGCTGGCGCATCCCAGCATGCTGCAGGTGTCCACGCACACGCGCAATCAACGCCGGCCCCACGAGCATCTGACGCACAAGGAATCCTATCTGGCCAACGATATGCTAAACCATGCCCAACTGGTGCGCAAGCTGGGCTGTGGCAGCTATCAGAATCGGACGCTGCAACGCTATTACGCCTTCAACACATCGCTGGCCACCATACTGAGCAATGTGGTGCATGGCGAGCGCACGAAATACGCCATCGCCCTGATCCGTGGCAGCAATCTGTTTGCGGCGGTGCTCAACTCCAGCTGCGATGGCGGTGCCTTCTGTCCGTGCAGCACCATCGATCGGGTCTGCCTCAACTGCAAGCGCATGGATCAGACGGACTGCGAGTGTCCCTGCGAGTGCCCCATGCTGGCGAATAGCGATGCCAGGGATCTGGATGACTATACCAACTATACGCGGCAATTTCCCTATTGTGCACCACCGAGCGAACATTTTCTCGCACTGCCACCCACCACGCAGCTGTTGAGCATGTTGCCCAGCTGCACCGCCGTTGGAGGCGGAGGCGGCTGTGAGACGTTCGCTACACAGCGCGAATGCCTCGGCATCATGGGCTGTGAGTGGTGTCAACAGGATGTGGAGGGGAACACCTTCGCGACGGCCTTCTGCTCCTCACAGGCGGGCTGCTTTAATGGTGTGCTGGCCTCGCTGACGCCGTATGGAGAGTTGGATGAGCTGGAGATGCTGGCCGCGCATAATCCACAGCGGGAACAGCATGCCTACTCCGCCTTTGGGCCACTGGGTGGTGCCATCGTTGTGCTTGCCATAGTGATAGGCTTTGCCATCTATTGCTACAGGCACAATCTGGATAACCAGGCACTGGAGCAGTTTTATGTGGATTCGGTGCAGGAGGAGAACTACGGTCTGCCCCTGTCACGTTTCAATTTCGATGATTGCCAGGCACATGATGAGCCGCCCATGGGTGGCTATGATCATGCTGCGGCCCAGCGCCAACTGATGCATGCTGCGGACATATCACCGTATCACATGTCCAGTGGCAGCAGCTACTACCGCCGGCCGCCCAACGGGGAGTCGGATCACGGCTACAGCACCATGACACCGCACGAGGATAGCTCCGATCAGCAGTGCTTTACGCTGGCGGAGCCACTGCTGCTACACGACAAGCGGCACAGCAAGTCGGACACCATGTCCATATCAACATCCATATCGAGTCCCACTAACCGCCAGCAGTCCAACGCTCATCCCTATTTGAGCAATCAGCCGGCCAGCAAGACGGAGCGCTACAAGCAGCAGCCGCAGGCCACACCGTCGCCCTGTCGCGGCACAACGTCCGCGGTTTATGGCCAGACCACGCTGCCGCTGGATGCCGAGGAGTCGCGATCCCACTATATACTGGCGCCTGTGACCGTCCATCGGCACATGGAGACGGCCGAATCGTAGTCGATTGCAATTAACGTTTAAGGAGTCCGCTTGTTTGCCAACTTGGTTATTTTGTGGGTTAGTTCACAACCACGCGATCCGACACAGAATCAGATCAGCATCCGATAACTAATTCAGACTCTACAAAATGCCAGCCAATTTAATCTTTAAGTCGTTTATATTGTTAACCACTTTGCCATTTTTGTCCAGGTGCACGAACTATGCGCGTGCACTGTAATTTATTGCAAAAAGTATTATTATGCAGCTACTTCCAATATTTTAAGCATTTACATATACATACATACATAYATATATATATGGATATATAGATATATATATATCTATGTTAAGCACTAAATCAACTAAATGTACTTATCAAAGTAACGAAACGACTCGAAAGGAAGAGTATACATTTTTTGTAATAGTCCTTAAGTGCATAAAGTTACTAATTATCGATTTTAGTTCGTAAATAATACAAACTTTAAATAAAATGTTTGCAAAAATTTTACACACAAAACGAAAAGGAAGATTGGAAAATCTTCTTAGCCTTGATTTAGAGCCAATTGTCTGTTAGCCGCGGCTACAGCTGTCGACGCGTTAATGAATTTATTTTTACAGCAAACTCTAAACAGAGGGAAAGAAGAAGAAGAAGAAAAAAAAAAACAATAAATAGATTTCGCTCAATAGCAGAATTTTCAGTGCCCAAAATGTTGCGTATATTTAGAAATAACAAAATCTCTCAGAGTTGTCAGAGAAGAGCAAAGAGAATTTTCCGAAATTTTCCAAATGATTATGAAGATTATTTTTAATTAAGTGTGCTTAAATATTTGAATGCAAATTTAATTATTTATTCAATATTTAACGTAAATTTTGATTATTATTTTATATATTTTTGTAGATATATTATGAGAAATTCAGCTTCCCTGCTGGTCATTTCATAACCGTTTCTAACCGATACAGTTTTCCGGTACATGACAACACTATGATCGAATTTTTGTGCTCAATCTCTGATCTTTTTTTTGCGACAGTTGCATTTGGTTTTCTGGTTTGGCGCACAACGAACGTTGTTTTCAGGTTTCTATTTTCTGAAACCCGACAACGACAATTTCAGCTACTTCAGCTAGAGTTCAGCTTCTGTTCTGCACCCCGCACAATCTTCCTCGCACTTTGAGGTAAGGCCAATTGATACACTATATACTCTATTTGCTTTCCAAAATTAATATCGTGTTTTTTTTTTTTTTTTGGATTGCTCACGATTTTATTACGTAATGTTCAGTGAGCAGAGAAAAAAAAAAAAAAAAAAAAAAAGAACGAGAGTTATGTAAAAAATAAAAAATGATGCATTGGGCATGTGCTCAATACACAAGATCAATGCCAATGGTACAAAGTGTTCGATAATAGATTGAAAGAAAGAAAAAAAATTGAAAAGAAATTTTCGCAAATGTTGAACATATTGTCGAATCCTTTTTACATGTTTTCTGAAATATCTCAAGTCGATTACATCATGATCTTTTAACCTCAACCAATCCACAGCATCCTCGCTAGCCAACATGTTCAAATCCCTGTTCGAGGCCGCTCAGAACTCAACGTTCAAGTCGCCATTCACCAGTGCTAACTGCCAGGCTGCTTCAGCGCCCTCACCCGCGCCCGCTCTCCTGCCCTCGGCCAACGATGGAGCTGCGCGCCAGCTGAGCCCAAATCACAATTTCGCTGCCGCCGCTGCTGCTGTTCAGGGTGGTAAGTGAGGATCGGGAGCCCAATGACTGGTATCTAATACTCTCCCACTTTCGTTCTCTAGATTCCTGCGAATTTGGCTCCAATCACTATTTCGTGCTATGCGGCTTGGGTGGCATCATCTCGTGCGGTACCACGCACACAATGGTGGTGCCTCTCGATCTGGTCAAGTGCCGTCTGCAGGTGGATCCGGCCAAGTACAAGAGTGTGGTGAATGGCTTCCGTGTCAGCTTGGCTGAGGAAGGCGTCCGGGGCTTGGCCAAGGGCTGGGCGCCCACCTTCATTGGCTACTCGATGCAGGGTCTGTGCAAGTTCGGTCTGTACGAGGTCTTCAAAGTCATGTATGCCAATGCCATTGGCGAGGAGAATGCCTTCCTGTACAGAACCGGCCTCTACTTGGCCGCCTCGGCCTCGGCTGAGTTCTTTGCGGATATTGCGCTGGCGCCCATGGAAGCCGCCAAGGTCAAGATACAGACAACGCCCGGATTTGCCAAGACGCTGCGCGAGGCGCTGCCCAAGATGACCGCACAGGAGGGCATTTCGGCCTTCTACAAGGGTCTGGTGCCGCTCTGGATGCGACAGATTCCATACACCATGATGAAGTTCGCCTGCTTCGAGCGCACCCTGGAGCTGCTCTACAAGTATGTGGTGCCCAAGCCACGTGCCGACTGCAGCAAGGGCGAACAGCTGATTGTCACCTTCGCTGCTGGCTACATTGCTGGCGTGTTCTGCGCCATCGTCTCCCATCCCGCAGATACGGTCGTCTCCAAGCTGAACCAGGCCAAGGGCGCCAGCGCTCTTGATGTGGCCAAACAATTGGGCTGGGCTGGTGAGTAACTGATGATTGTCGACGATCCTCTAGAGAAATTAGCCTAAATCAACTGTTCATTGCTTAACAGGTCTGTGGGGCGGTCTGATGCCTAGGATTGTCATGATTGGCACACTCACTGCCGCTCAATGGTTCATTTATGATGCTGTCAAGGTCTTCCTGCGCATGCCACGCCCACCACCACCAGAGATGCCCGAGTCGCTGAAGAAGAAGCTGGGCGTGACTGGGGAGCAGTAAGAAGAAAAGTGTAGAAGTTAGCCCGCTTTAAATATACATATATACATACAGTAAATAGTGCAAAACAGATTATATTGACCAATTTAATGCGAATTGTATAGAAAACAAGATAAAATAAATAAACATACCAAAAACTTTAAAATTTATTCCAAAGAGAAAGCTTTTGCTGCGTTTGAGGGAAATTTAGTGATTAATATGTAAAATATAATATTAAATGAATGTCTAAGATATTGAATTATTTAAATTGAACATAAATACTAATAAAATAATTAAATAATAAAAATAAAATAAATATAAAATAGGTATTATTTTAAAGCATTCAGATTTCGTTTTGTCTACATAGCATTTTGGAATTTGAATGCCCGCGCTTTAATACTTTTCCAGGGCTGCAGTGAATTGCACAAGTTTGGTCACCCTGACGGGCAGCAGCTTTTGGCGCCCCATTTGAATTGCATAAATGCTGAAATAGAAAACACATTTTAAGTTAGTTTACTTGACAAAAATGTATAAAGAATACTTAATAGAATCAATTACTGTTATTTTCATTTCAGCAAATTTGAAATTAATTATATAAAAATAAAAAAAGAAACAATTGAAAAAATTGATAAATTATAAATATATATTTTATAAATAAACAAAATTGAGACATCGTAATAAACTTTCGCTAATAAACCTTAGCTTTATTTGGCTAACAACATAGATAAAATTTAAATATAGATTTTTATAAATACATAAACAAAATTCATCCATTAATCATAGTCTAATTAAAATATATTAATGATGTTGCTAATTGAAGTATATTTAATGCGGAACAAGCCCAAATTGTTGATTCCCACCTGCGGTGAGAAATATTTAATACAAAAATAGACATGGAGTATTTGACCAAGATTCTTCTTACGTAATATATATTTGAGCTTAATTTTTATAATTTTGTGTTCATATATGTATCTACAATATTCTATTCTATTCAGCTTAATGTTTTGTTTAAAATTTGTATATTTTAGAGTTACAGTTAGGCAACGGATATGCCTGTAAATACGTAAAATATATGTGTGATTTGAACCCCTGCCAATTATGGCAAGGTCAATGATCGTTTGTGATTTAATTTTGATGGCTTACGTGTTTACAGATGTGCTCTATGTATGCCAGCCGAGGCAGGGAGTTACGTGCATGCCATGCCAAATATTAGCTCAATATTGTAAATGAATTGGTATAAAAATGCGTGCATTTCAAGTCTTGCATTTCAGTTACAAATGCAAGTTACAAATAAAATGCTGCTAAAGGTATGTTGCAATGGGACAGTTAGTTTTGCAAAGATTTTTCATGCATGTATTTGCTTTAAAGGTAATTTTGGTAATCGCTTCTATAGCTGGTATTTCTGCCGAGTCACCTGTGCGAGCGCCATATGCACCTGCTGGCTGGCGTCCTCGCGTGCCATTTGGCTTGCCCGGCAGTCTGGAGTCTAGCTTTGAGATCAGCAGGCAACGCGTTGATTATGCTGGCACTTTCAATGAGCCTCGCCTCGATTCCAACTATTTGCCACCACGCACCGAGTCAAACGATGTGGGGCAACAGGCTCCAGTGTCCAAGCAAGTGGACGGCGAGACAACGCCATCTCCACAATACGGCGCGCCAACTGATGCCCCATTTCGCATTGACTATCCCGACGAGGAAGTCTCTGCGCCAGCCACTGATTCGCAATCGAATCGGCGATCAAATATTCAAGAGGGTCGCTACTATATAGTCTCGGACGATAAGAAACTGCAGCGCGTGCTCTATCGCACGGTCCAAAGTCCCGGAGATGAGCTGACAGCACAGCTTAGGTACTCGCCTGTGGGTAAGCTGCAGGATCCCGTTTATAAATACAATCGCCTGGGACAATTGGAGCGGGTGCTGAAGTAAAGGTCATGAGAGCTGAGATTACTTGACAACAAATTCATTATTATTGAAAAATAATAAATGGCAAAGCTTTATCAATGTTATCCAAGCTTACTTTGAAAATAAATGAATTATTTGATTACGAATAATTTATGATGCTATTATTATAGATTGTCAGCCTTTTCAATAGAAACTCAATTTGTTATTTACTTTGTTTTATACAAAAATGCTTTCTTTATTCATTTATCATTATTTATACACAAAAGAATCTCATTTGTCTTCGTACACATTTTTCCATTCGAGAGTGTAATCCAATGCATTTCTCATCAGAATTCGTTTAAAACTAAATACAATGCTTATGTTTATGTATGTATGGATGCGTGTGATGGTCACAATGTATGTGTGTGTGGGTTCGGTTTTGTGTGTGTGTGTTTCGGTGTGTGTGTGCGTGTGTGTTTGTTCTGTTGTGGAACGACACAAAATGAAGGCGCTTAACAAAACGAAACGGCAAAAGTCGATGGAACAGGCATAGGCTGGCATAGCTGGAACAAGTGGGACGGCTGGGCATTGGAACGCGCCTGGCTATGGCAATATGGCGGCATTCCACAGAAAAGAGAGAGAGAGGGAGACAGCAATAGTGGTAGTAGTGGCGCATGTGGATGATAGCGTGTGGACAGAGAGTTTCGCATGACGACGAAGCCAGTGCATGCCAAACTGTGATGCATTTAATACTTAGCTCGGTTAGCGATAATAATAATAATAATAATATAGATAAAAAACAATGCTCATAGACAAGTTAGCCTACAGAGAGTTGGAGGGTCGACCTAAACTGGAAACACTAGACGGCACACTCAGCCTCCTTACTGATAACCATTGAATTTGCCCTGTTGCGCATTGCTGTCATAGCCACCGTTGCCATTGCGTCCGTTGCCATTGCCGTTGCCGTTGCCCACCTGCTCGTAGCGAATGGTTGGACGGTAGCCATTCTGATCAGCCTCGTACTCGACGATCTGCTTGCGGCCATCGGGCAGCAGCACGTAGTAGCGGCCAACGGCCAAGTCGCCATCGCGCGACTCCATGTGGCCGAAATCGTTGCCCGACTCGTAATCCTGCACGTCATATTTGAATTCGTATTTCGCTGGACCGTACTGCTCCTCGTCGCGCTGGCCGTAGCCGGCGTTGCCGTTGCCGCCGCCATAGCCGCCATTGCCGCCGCCGTTCTGTCCCTTGAAGATGGCGCCGGTCAGAGCAGGTGCGCCATACTGGCTCTGGGGCAGAGGTGCGCCGTAGCTGTTGCTGGGTGCCGAGCCGCCGCCGCCGCCGCCGCGCTGAGGAGGCAGATAGTTGTTGGCGGGCGACTGATAGGTCTGTGTGGGCGGCAGATAGTTGTTGGAGGGCGCCTGGGGCGACTGGTTGGGTGGCAGATACTGGTTCTGGACTGGTGGTTCCGCTTGCGTCCAGGCGGCCAGGCAGACGAGCATTGCGATCGTTGTAAAGCACTGCGGAAGAGGGGAAAAGGATTTGTCAGTTCAAGTGGATTCAAATGGAAGCAAGGGCAGCCTCTGGCTTTGCAGTCAGCCAAAATCGAATTGTGTTTGCTATTTTAGTTGTATTTAGTGTTTAACAGTTTTTGTTTTGTTTTTTTTTTTTTTTTTTGTTTGTTTTGGTCACCATGTCAGACTCGGAGGAGGGTGCCTGGATACCCTGGTTCTGCAAGCAGCGCGGAAACGAGTTTTTCTGCGAGGTGGACGAGGACTATATACACGACAAGTTCAATCTGAATTTCCTCGACTCGAACGTGAGCAACTATCGTCGCTCGCTGGAGGTGATACTCGATCTGGAGCCAGAGTCCGGATCGGATCCACCGCCCGAGGCTGAGCTGGAGCAGTGCGCCCAGAAGCTATACGGCCTGATACACGCTCGCTTCATACTGACCAATCGTGGCATTGATCTGATGCTGGAGAAGTATCAGAAGAGTGAATTTGGCATCTGTCCGCGTGTCTTCTGCCAGCGTCAGCCGGTGCTGCCCATTGGCCTGAGCGATAATCCTGGCGAGGATTTGGTGCGCATCTTCTGTCCCAAATGCAATGATGTCTATGCGCCCAGGTCGACACGGCACGCGGCCATCGATGGCGCCTTTTTCGGCACCGGCTTCCCGCAAATGCTATTCATGGTCAAGCCAGAGATGCGACCGAAGCGCACCAAGCAAAAGTTTGTGCCCAGGTGGGAGGTGATTTAATGTCGTCTGCTGCCAGCTTCACTAATCTCTGCTACTCAGATTATATGGTTTCAAGATCCATCAAATGGCGCTTCGATCGCTGAGCGAGAACATTGCCGCCAGCAAGGATCAGCAGCCAGGTGAAGGGGATAGCAACTGAGCAACTAAGTGCTTCGATTGTCTGACAACATTTTGAGCCCATGACCAAATTGCTTGTACCTTGCCAACAACAACAACAACAACAGGTGATTGTCTTTTTTTTTCTGTTTTAATGTTTTCTAAGCTTGTCTTCGTGTTTCTGTTGCCCTTTTGAAAGAATCTCATTAAAAATTGTTATCGTAATTAGCTCTGCATCAGCCTATTTATGGCTCTTTTGTGCAATTGTTTATGCACATTGTTTATAATTATAATTATGCTTTGTCTGAGCCACGTTTAGGCGCGTGTAATATGCAAATTTGTGGAAATTGGGTCGTCTTTCGGCTGTGGATGAGCACCAGCAAAGTGAAGGGCCAACTCTGGCAGGTGAGGCAGAATTTGTCATGTTCCGCATACGTCGCGTTGACGACGGGTGCTGTAGCAGCCAGCTTCGTGTATGACTTGTGCAACAAAATTGCATTTGGCGTAAGCAGCTTGAGGATTCTATTCACAAATGCCTCAGTCGCAACTATTCTAGAGGCAAGTATAGTGTTGTATCGCCCAGCTTTATGTGCGCTACGCAATACATGACTTAGGCAACAAACTTGCTAACTTTGCTAAATGAAGTTTGAGAATTCGCTTTTAATGGCAGAATAGTGTTACAGCAGGCAGCTTAATGTGAGCTGCGCTGCAAATGACTTAGACAACAAACTTGCCTGTTCAGTTAATGCAAATATTCTTATAATTGCTCCATTTGTAGAACAGTGTTGTAGCAGCCAGCTTTATGCGTGCTACAAAATATGACAAACTAACTTTTTGCCGAAAGGAGCCAGTGCATTGCTTATCTTCAAATTCTTAGTAGCAGTGCTGTAGCAGTCAGCTTGCGGCTACAAATAGAATGACTTGGGCAACAAACTTGCAAGCTTTGCCTAAAGGAGCTACAAAGACTGCTCTTCCGTTTACTTGTCGCGACTCTTCTAATTGCATAAATGATGTAACATTTCTTCTTCTTCCCAATTACTTTAGTTGCGAGTGCAAGACCTTCAGCGACTTTCATGCTTCATTGGCTTACAAAAAAATAAAAAATAAAACAGTAAAACAAAAAACATTTGATATTGCGTTGTGTTCGGTGTTGTGTTCGTCCCTTGCTTATCTTGCTAACTGCAGTCCAAACATGGTCACTGATGCGCACTGTTGTAGTTGAAAGTACAAGTCTCTTAATTTATGCAAAACAACTGCGTTAGTGGTGTTGCGGCGTCTGCCCGAACCGTGTCTATTCTTGCTAACTGCTTTTTTTATAGTCAATTTACATTTGGGGGGAATGCGATTTGCACAGTAGCCAAAGCCGGAATGCGTGTCGAAATGCATATAGATATAAATCATAGCAAAACTATTATGAAACTGACGAAAATTTATGCGCATTTTCAGCTAATCGCATTGATTGAGTATATTTTTGAACTTGACTTCTTTTTGCATAAATGATTTATTAGATTTTGAATATGCTAAAGACTTTGATTTATATTAAAAATGATCAACTAATCTGCTCATAAGCTTGTATTTAATTTCTTTTTTTTTTTTTTTTGTTCTAAATCCTTTTCTGAACTTGGCTGGCATGGCTAGCCACACTTTTTGCTGCAATCCCTTTTACAGGCAGGACTGCAGCAATGCACACACAACACACACAACTTTGCACTGACAGTCCGTATCCAGATGTGGATGTTGTGGATTCTATACCTTCATTTTGTTCGGTCACTTGCTTGGTTTTTGTACAAAACACACACGAAACTGTTTTTCCTTTACTGCAGGAGACTCGGCACTAGTAGCTGAGGATCAACTGGATGAATTGATATTGTGGGGTTGGTGGTTCTTCTTGCGAAGATGGTTGACTTGATTGTGATACTGAAACAATTTCGTAGGCCAGTATTTATATTTGAAATGTGCTGCATTCGCTGTCGTTGGCGCTGTCGGCAGCGGCGTTGGCGTCGGCATCAGCGGCGACAGCGACGCCATCACAACAAAAATAGCGCGCCAAATTTTCGTATCTATTTTTTTTTGTGTTTCTTCTCATTTAAAAAATTTTTTTTTTTTTTTTGGTTTGGAAGTTTCGAAGAGCGCGAGTTTCAAAGTAAGTAGCAATGCAAAGCAACACACACACTCACACACACACAGATTCGTACAGAAAACATTACAAAATAATGCAAAGCAACAAACAGCAACAGAAACGGCAACAACAATAACAATAACTACAGCATCGAGTGCTCTCCGCTCGGCTCGTGAGCAACGAAGACGCGAAGCTTTAGTGTTATAGTAAACTAGTTACTTTTAAATTAAAGCGCCAAACATTTGACGTTGACGCTGGAGCTGAGAGCGAAGATGAGCGTCGCTCATTGATGCGAACGAGCAGCGCGGGAGTAATATGCTCCTCACATCACATCACATTTACCCATGCCCAGATCCCAGCCGCAGGCCCCAGGCCCCACATCCAGGCCCGCATGCGATAAACATTTGCTGTTGCTGTTGCTTCTGTTGATGTTATTGTTGTTGTTGTTGTTGTTGTTGTTGTCATGTAATAGCAAAAACACTTATTTGTAATGGGATTAGTCATGCAGCTGGCTATAGCTGCGGCTGTGGCTGTGGCTGTAGCTGTGGCAGTAGCAACATCTCAGCGAGGGCCGCAGGTGAGCGGATCTGGAGCTGCCACTGTACGTTGCCAGCTACACGCATCTTCGTTGCTTCGGCTCTGGGCCGAGTCAGTCGTGTGGCAGCAGCGGCAGCCGCAGTAGCTCAGTTGTATCGAAAGACTTAAGGCGCAAACTTGCGCATGCGAAAGCTTATTAAAATATGTAATCTTTTCTGCACGTTTTTTGTTCTGCTATTCGACAAGAAATTAACTTCATTTAATTGCCTGTGTGAGTGTGTGGGCGTGAGAAATAGTTGCATTTTGTTAAAATTTAATCTAGTACTAAAAATTTTAATGAGCTTTCTGATGAGCTGGGAGCTCTTGTGAAATGTTTGCAGTGTGAACTGAATGGACTGCGAAATATGCAGATTGAATATGATAAGATAGAAATATATCTAGGAGAGCTAAAGATATAGATAAATAACTGGAAATATATAGCTATATTTAGATAGATGGATGGATTGTATATAGATCGAATTTTCTAAATAGATTCTTAGACAGATAGATATGTACATTAATACACAGATACACAGATACACAGATACACAGATATACAGAGATACAGATACAAAGATACAAAGATACATAGATACATAGATACATAGATACATAGATACATAGATACATAGATACATAGATACATAGATACATAGATACATAGATACATAGATACATAGATACATAGATACATAGATACATAGATACATAGATACATAGATACATAGATACATAGATACATAGATACATAGATACATAGATACATATATACATAGATANTTTGTAATGGGATTAGTCATGCAGCTGGCTATAGCTGCGGCTGTGGCTGTGGCTGTAGCTGTGGCAGTAGCAACATCTCAGCGAGGGCCGCAGGTGAGCGGATCTGGAGCTGCCACTGTACGTTGCCAGCTACACGCATCTTCGTTGCTTCGGCTCTGGGCCGAGTCAGTCGTGTGGCAGCAGCGGCAGCCGCAGTAGCTCAGTTGTATCGAAAGACTTAAGGCGCAAACTTGCGCATGCGAAAGCTTATTAAAATATGTAATCTTTTCTGCACGTTTTTTGTTCTGCTATTCGACAAGAAATTAACTTCATTTAATTGCCTGTGTGAGTGTGTGGGCGTGAGAAATAGTTGCATTTTGTTAAAATTTAATCTAGTACTAAAAATTTTAATGAGCTTTCTGATGAGCTGGGAGCTCTTGTGAAATGTTTGCAGTGTGAACTGAATGGACTGCGAAATATGCAGATTGAATATGATAAGATAGAAATATATCTAGGAGAGCTAAAGATATAGATAAATAACTGGAAATATATAGCTATATTTAGATAGATGGATGGATTGTATATAGATCGAATTTTCTAAATAGATTCTTAGACAGATAGATATGTACATTAATACACAGATACACAGATACACAGATACACAGATATACAGAGATACAGATACAAAGATACAAAGATACATAGATACATAGATACATAGATACATAGATACATAGATACATAGATACATAGATACATAGATACATAGATACATAGATACATAGATACATAGATACAAGATACATAGATACATAGGTATATAGACTTAAGGATGGTTAGAATGTTTCAAAATTAGAATAATAAGATGAGTAACATATTCGCTTACCTATCAGATAATTGAATTAATTATGGCTGCTTTTCACGTAGAGAACATTTAAAAATTTAAGCCTTAAAGTGGGCTTAGCTATAAACAATTGTCAAAACAAAATATAAATTATCTTGAATTGTCTTCAGCATGTGAAATCTAGATAAGAGTTGAGAGCTGAGAGCTGAGAATCGAGGTGTGGCGGCTAATTGCCTAGAGTCTGGATGAGGTGTGGAAATGGTTACTGAAGGTCATCATTGTTGTTATTATTATTAACATTGTTATTGATTATTAGCCAATCAGCTGGCAACAACAGCAACAACAAGCTGTATTGCAACATACATAAAAACTAAACAAAAGATACTTAATGAGCTCTTGAAAAATTATAACAAATTCGAACTGAAATTCAAAATTTAAATAGAGCGCATTTTATATATTATTTGTATTTTTATTGGGCATATGGTGGGCGTAGCATTTATCACGATCTGCAAATACTTTAAATGCCGTTAAGTTGCTAACGGTTGCTTTGCCTTTTCGCCATTTGCCATTGTTTAAGCCAAACGTTTCCGTGTGTGTGTGTGTGTGTGTGTGTATGTTTTTTTTCTCTCTCTTTCATTATTGGCATTTTACCATCGACATTTTTGCTCGCTGTCGGCACGAGCCATGCTTAAGCGACTTTCACAATTTAATGTTAAGGTCCAGACTTTTATTAATAACGAGCTAACAATAGTGCAAAGTGCCGACGCAGCGCGCCCTGTTTCCAAACAAATTTGATTGAAATATGCCAAAAAAAAATGTTAGCCTGGCTTAGACATTTGATTTTGACAAGAACACACACAACATGACGAATTCATTTAACGGAAACAATTTCAATAGGTAATG